TTCTGGAGCAGCGCAGCTCAGTTGCCAACCAATAAAACTCTCCTTTCAGGACTGTGGCCAGTAACCTGAAGATTCCATCAAGCTCCACCCCCTTGTCTGCCATGTTCCATCAAGCCCCGCCCCCTGTCTAGAGTGGGTGAGGACTTTTTGCATTCAGAGCTGGTAACCATAGAAGCAGGCCCTGTGTGACCAGTTCCTATTGTAGGGCTCTGGGTTCTCCTTATGGCGAGGAGCTGTCCACGTGACCTTCACAGGTGCTGATGAGAAATACTCAACCCAGCTTTTGTGATAAGTGTAGATAGGTAGCCATGAAATTAACTCATCCAAGGATGGTGTGGGGCGAGGAAAACAGGGAGGTCAACTTCTGTATGCTATATTAATTTAAATTTTGGGGAGTTAATCTGGGAAAATAGAGATCTGAAGGAGATGTTGGCACCAGCCTCCATAGGGGGCTTAAAAGAGACGAGATGGTACTCCCTAAAGTAGGTTGATGTAATACTCAATGTATATAAGAGGGATGGGCCTTCCGTTGCGATGCTACAATCACCAACTTGCCTTATCTGCCCCTACCATAGATGCCTCTGGATGTTAAGCTTTATAAGGGGCAAATGACTAGACCAGGGGTAGGCAACCTTGGCTCTTTTATGACTCGTGGACTTCAACTCCCAGAATTCCTGAGCCAGCATGGCTGGCTCAGGAATTCTGGGAGTTGAAGTCCACGAGTCATAAAAGAGCCAAGGTTGCCTACCCCTGCACTAGAATAATGAGTATATGGCTAGCAGTAGGACTGAGAGAAACAGCTGGCATCAAACTGTTTTGAATTCCAAATATCATGCTTCCACAGGTAGTCTTCAACGTACCACAGTTTATTTAGTGACCGTTCAAAGTTACAACAGCACTGAGAAAAGTGACTTATGACCGTTTTTCACAGTTATGACCTTTGCAGCATCCCCAGGGTCATGTGATCAAAATTCGGACCCTTGGCAACTGGCTCCTATGACGGTTGCAGTCTCTCAAGGTCATGTGATCCCCTTTTGCGACCTTCTGACAAAGTCATTGGGGAAGCCAGGTTCTTTTAGCAGCTGTGTTACTAACTTAACAACTAGTGATTCACTTAACAACTGAGGCAAGAAAGGTCGTAAAATGGGGTAAAACTCACTTAACAAATCTCTCTCTTAACAACGGAAATTTTGGGCTCAGTTGTGGATGTAAGTCAAGGACTTTCTATAGTGTGAAACTCTGCTTTGGATGGAAAACGGTGTTTTGAACATAGAGGTTTCATTCTTGAAACCTCTTTCATACTCATGTGGTTTACATTCTCAAAGTGAGATGTTTCAGATTCCAAACTCTTCCACTCATAATCTTTTGCACATTGCTAGTTAGGAGCTTCTACTAGCCCGAACCAATCTTTTCATTTAAGATGATTTTCTTTCTTAATTCTAAACAATCAAATATCTGAAAGAAATACAAAATAAGGTTCTTATATAGAGGCCCCAGGTTCCTCCAGGTTACAGTCGTTACTTTGTGAGGTTAAGAAGTTGGGCAACAACTCAAGCTTTTTAAAAATAAGTTTTTTAATCATGATTTTTTGCAGAGCGAAAGAAAAAGAACTAAAAGCTAATAGTAAAAATAATGAATTAAAAGAGAAACAATCAAGGCAAAACAAAAAGCTTTTTTTAACAAAAAAGCTAGATGCTAACTGGGATATAGATGCACAAATGTGAACATTTTATACATCACTTTTCAATATTTCTGTCCAAAATTACAAAGCTAATGGGGATTTAAAAAAAAAAATTATATAGAAATGTCCATAAGCTATTAAGAATTGAATCTCACTTGAGGGAGATTTTACTTTTTAAAATGGGCATTATCTCCAAAGAAGTTAATATATATAAAAGTATATACTACACCTCTCCCCAACAGATTCTAAAAATATTACAAGCGACCATTTTATTTTAGTGAACTGTTTTGCTTATAGGTTGTCCTTGAGGTAAATTGTTGATAATTACTGAAACAGATTGAGAGCAGATATCCTGCCATAAAGCATTCTAACCAGATCCATCAGTAGATTCCTATTCTTTAAAAATTGTGAAGAATATGGGAAAATATTTGTATTTTTTTAAACCTGCAAATATATAGGTCACTGGCTGAATCTTCCTAGGAAGAGCACTGCAGAATTGGAGAATCATGAGGAAGAAAGTGTTTTCTTTAGTCAAACTAATTTAGAGGGACATCTTCTGCACGGGTGCGATTATTTATGCTGAAGCCCTGAATACAGGTAGTCCTCATCTTACGACCACAATTGATCCCAAAATTTCTGCTGCTAAGTGAGGCAGTTGTTAAGTGAATTTTGCCCCATTTTACGACCTTTCTTGTCACAGTTGTTAAGTGAATCAGTGTAGCTGTGAAGTTAGTGACATGGTTGCTAAGTGAATCAGGATTCCCCATTGATTTTGCTTGTCAGGATGTAGCAGAGGGGGTCGTTGCAACTGTCAGAAACATGAGTCAGTTGCCAAGTGTTTGATTTTTAATCATGTGACCATAGGGATGCTGCAACGGTTGTAAGTGTGAAAAACAGTCGTATGCCACTTTTTTCAGTGCCATAGTAACTTCGAACGGTCACTAAATGAACCGTTGTAAGTCAAAGACTACATGTCGTTGCAGGCTGATAGTGAGGCTATCATTCCATTCATCTAATATGAATTAATTTTTAGAATGCTACGTTTGCATGTACAGGAGATCCACAGGATGATGGAGTATTGTTTTGCCACAGTGCAAACTCTGGCACTGGGACATGTATGCGATGTGGCAAAGCACATACTAGGAAAGGGGTGGGGCTTGCAACATAAGGACATGCTACTTTTGTTACTTTGACCCTCCTTCTCCCTTAGATGCTGCTGTTTCTGGAGTTTTTTATCCCCTAAGAATACAGCTAGTCCTCGCTTAATGGCTGCTCTGCTTAGCAACCATTTGAAATTATGACAGCGCCGGAAAGATGAAAGTTGTGATCATTCCTTGCACTTAACATGTCATATGATCAACTTTTGGGTGCTTTGCATCTGGTGGGGTTTCATGAAGATCTCAGCTTCCCACGTTCACATAATCACCATTTTTGCACTTCACAGCTGGCTTCCCGCAAGCAAAGTCAACGGAGAAACTGGCAGTAAAATCACAAGTTGCAGTCACACAATGTCTTGCTTAATGACTGCAGGTGACTTGCTTAATAACCGCAGCAGACATGAGGTCTTAAGTCCAACATCATCATGTGATATCTCACTTTTTGACTTAAGTTTAGTGATGCAGTTGCCGGTCCCAATTGTAGTCACTAAGCAAGGACTAGCTGTATGAATTAAAAGCATATATAATATTTTTGTTTGGGGGGAAAAAGTTTTGCTTTTAACTGCTTCTGATGTGATTGTATTGCTTGGAATGCTTGTATTTCTCTTGCATTAATAAATTATCTTCTGTATCTGGTTTTGGAGGGAATCTTTGATTAAAAAAAATATACATATATAATCCATGGATGTTTCTCCCTCTTTCCTATACCACAAGTGAAGATGCCTAAAGAGGTGGAGACAGGCTCATATAATTGATTTCCCACCCCTTCCCCACTACTTGGACCTCTGTAAAGAATTACCATCCCTTTGAACAGCAAAATAAGTTTTAAAAGTAAAGTGATTCTGCATTTTCATCAATTACATGCTTCTTTTTGAATGGCAGCAGCTATGTTATGGAATAAACTTGCTGGAAATGAGAAAATTTGGAGGGTTCTGGTGAATGATGGCATCCCCAGGATTGATCATTGTGATTATTGATTTTTTTGGTATTACTGATTGTGCTATTTTTTAGTTGCGGCTGCTTCAATTCATACGCTTTGTTTTGTGTTGCTGTTCTATAAACTGCAGAGAATCTGTTTTGATTATACTGGGTGTAAAATAATTAATACAGATAGTCCTTGATTTATGCCCATTATGGTCCTAAGTCATGAAGCGGGTCACCCACGTGAATGACCCAATTTTGCTACCTTTTTTGCTACCACAGTTGTTAAATGAACCCATTGTTCACTTTTTGCTGAAAACCGGAAGTAAATGTTAGTTTTCAGCCAAAATGCTGTAAATTGTAATCATGTGACAAATGATCTGTAAATGTCTGTAAATGTGGATGGATTGCCCAGTGCCTAAATGTGGTCATGTGACCAGGAGGAGGGATTGGCCATCAGAACTCCAGAACCAGGTTATAAATACCCCTGGGAAAGTCCGTCATAACTTTGAACAGTTGTTAAGCAGCCAGTCGTAAATCAAGGACTCTCTGTATTACCCGGATGTGCAAATCCTGACAAATAATTCTGGCTAAACCTTTCCTTACGGCTAGTTTGGTATAATGGTTAAGGGCACCAGGCTAGAAACTGGGACACTGTGAGTTCTAGTTCTACCTTAGGCACAAAGCCAATTAGGTGATCTTCAACCAGTCAGTCTGTCTCAGCCCTAGGAATCAGGCAATGGCAAACCACTTCTGAAAATGTTGCCAAGAAAACTGGGAGTCATCTTCCCACAGTTCCCTGGAATCAAGACTGATTCAAAGGCATAAACAACCCTTCCCCAAGCCTAAACTCTATTCCTCCATAAGGAATTATGTTACTATTCCTTAAACTACCTTTTAACATTTAGGGAATCTCAATCACTTGGATTCTGGTTGTAAATCCTGCAAATGCTAGGAATTTCCCACTTCATCTGTTACTCTATGAACTGAAATCAACTGCTTCGTTGACTTTAGGGGAACATAAAGAGGAAACTCTGCAGCACTCATACAAAAGGAATTAAATTTGATTAGGAAACAGCACTTCAAAGCAGAATTAACCAGGGAAGTGCGTGGACTTTATAACGTTAGAATGATTTTATAATGATGACTTATATTAATGTTCTAATAAGAAAACCTATGGAGATCTGAAGATATTCTTAGGTACTATATCCAGTAATTCTGAATGTTGTGTTTCAAAGTAGACCTGGAAGTAATGAAGCCTTTAATAGAAGATCAAAGTTCAGACGATGAATATGAGAATGAAACAGATTTACTGCCGGCAGAGAAGAAATATCAGCTTGATCAGGAGGGCATTACGTATGTACTCTATTCCCACATATTTACAATAACCTCTCAGCCCTTTCCAGACTTTTATAAGACTAGACGATTCACATACACACACACCCGCACTGATATTTTCTGTTTTTCTTTCCATTTTCAGATTTGTTCAAACGCTCACTCACATCCTTAAAGGAAACATTGGGACAGGTCTTCTGGGCCTCCCTCTTGCAATAAAAAATGCAGGCATTCTGGTAAGTGTTAGGCAGATCCTAGCTATGGAGGAGAATAAGCTGTTGAGAGTTAAGGCCTACCACAAAATGGCTGGGTTCGCACAACCCATGAGGCTACTTGAGTAATGAATGAGTGGGAGATTCAGCATATTGTGAGAACCCGACCAGGATCTCTCTATATGCTGTGAACCAGGCTATTATATGAAATCAGAATACCAGTTTATTTGTTTCATTGAGGGGAGACCATTATGTGTTTTTAGGAGCCTAGCAGAGATGACAAAAGCGTTGAGAGTCGGATATTCTTCCTGATACTCTGCAAATTTTTCAGGAGACCGTGATCTGTTTTCGGCTCATCCCTGCAGAAAGGGGAGGCATATTACTCTTTGTAAATTGGTTACAATCTTTGTTCCTTCTTCCATGCAGCTTGGACCAATCAGTCTTCTCTTCATTGGAATTGTGTCAATCCACTGCATGCACATTTTGGTACGATGCAGCCATTATCTATCTGTCAGGTTAGTATGTAGCTTTTTGTTGATGTCACTTCTGCCCTGGAAATCAGCCTGCCAAATATTATCAGCCTGTATTTCTATGCAGGACATCAAGGTTTAGGGCAGAGGTAGGCAACCTTGGCTCTTTTATGACTCGTGGACTTCAACTCCCAGAATTCCTGAGCCAGCATGGCTCAGCTTGGAAACCTCTCCCTTTCCCCTCAGCATGGCTGGCTCAGGAATTCTGGGAGTTGAAGTCCACGAGTCATAAAAGAGCCAAGGTTGCCTACCCCTGGTTTAGGGATAGACTCTTTCTTTGCATCCACTATAAAAAAAAAAAGCTATTAGCAGGTTAGATTTGTGGGTTTGTTTTGTTTTATATTGTTTTGCTCTCCTCTGTACTATGTGGATTAATGGAGTCAAGGTGCCCGCCATATTTCTGTGCTGGCTGTAGGAGAGGAAACATTTGTCCCTCTGGGATTTGCTCATACAGAAGCCAAGCAGGCTGGCAGAAGGAGTTCAGAAGTATGTCCCCTTCCCTCCAGTCTGTTCACTTACTTGCATGGAATTCCTGATCATCACGTGTTTGATTGCCTTGGTAAATATGAATATTATACCCTTTACATTTTTCTGGATTTGTTTTTTCTTTTTCTATCAAACTGTGTCTACTCAATTATGAAAGTGTCTGAAAGACACTTGCATTTTTTTTTGAACACTTTAATAATGGCTTAACTTTATCCAGCTTCCACCTCTCCCTTTCTGCTAATGATACCTGTTTATATAACTCCATCCATTACATGGAGATCTGGATGGGGAGAAACAGGCTTAGACTGAATTCTACCAGGTAATTATGGATGCAGAAGCTAGTTGAGTCCATAGTCTCAATTCCTGGCAAATAGATGGGGAGGAAATGGAGGTAGTGACAGATTTTATCTTCCTGGGCTCCAAGATCACCACAGATGGGGACTGCAGCCAAGAAATTAAAAGACCCTTGCTCCTGGGGAGGAAAGCTATGGCAAATCTAGACAGCATACTAAAAAACAGAGACATCACCCTGCCAACAAAAGTACGTATAGTCAAGGCCATGGTTTTCCCAGTTGCAATGTATGGCTGTGAAAGTTGGACCATAAGAAAGGCTGAGCGCCAAAGAATTGAGGCCTTTGAACTATGGTGCTGGAGAAGACTCCTGCGAGTCCCCTGGACTGCAAGGCGATCAAACCGATCAGTCCTAGAGGAGATCAACCCTGACTACTCTTTAGAAGGCCAGATCGTGAAGTTGAAACTCAAGTACTTTGGCCACCTAATGAGAAGGAAGGACTCCCTGGAGAAGAGCCTGATGCTGGGAAAGATTGAGGGCAAGAGAAGAAGGGGATGACAGAGAATGAGGTGGCTGATTGGAGTCACTGAAGCAGTAGGCATGAGCTTAAATGGACTCCAGAAGATGGTAGAGGACAGGAAGGCCTGGAGGAATGTTGTCCATAGGGTCGCGATGGGTCGGACATCACTTCACAACTAACAACAACATAGATAGATAGATAGATAGATAGATAGATAGATAGATAGATAGATAGATAGATAGATAGAGATCTGTCTGTCTATCTGTCATCTAAACACATTTTTGAATTGTCCATCTCCCTCAAAGAGGGAGCAATTATTCTGGAGGGCATAGTTCTTCCCCAAGTAGAGCTGACCTACAACCTAGGGGTCCTTCTGCCCTTAGGGCTCTTACAAAACAGCAGTTGGAAGCCACAGCCAAGAGTCCCTTTGTGTAATTTCATCTTGTGTTCCAGTACCAGATATCCTTGGATCAAGAAGGTAGCTCATACCTTCTAACGTTGCATCTGGATTACTGAAACTTGGTAAACAAGGGGCAGCCCTCGAAGACTATCTGCAACCTATTTCTGGGACTATCTGCTCTGCATTGAATAAGATCTGGGAGGGGGTCTTGCTGGGGAATGCTCTGTTCAGAGACTTTCCCAGGGATGCCCCCTCACCTCTCTTGATATCGTTACTCCTGAGTAGCCAGACATCTCCCTCTTACTACATTTTTGTTTTTAATCTTTTTCTATTAATCCTGTGAGCTGCTCAGAATCTCTGAAAAATTGCAGCAGCGGACAAACAGCTCAACCTTTTCTTTTTTTTCAGTTGGAGGAGAAATAATTACTTTTTTTTGTTCTTGATAGATTGAAAATACCTTTCTTAGGGTATAGTGACACCGTTAGCCATGCCATGGAAACGTGTCCCTTTCACTTACTACAGAAACGATCATCTTGGGGAAGGTAAGAACTATTTTATTTTTTTAATGCAGAGAACGATGCAGCCTTCTGGTTCCACAATAACAGAGCACAGGGTTTTTTTTAGGTATAACATTAGAAAAATGTGATAAGGAAAGTATATGTTTAATGTTGCACGTATTAACAGTAGTAAGAATTGTATTTGATCAGTGCTGGATTTCAAATATGGGATGTAGTTTATCGATGGCCGGAAAAACACGGGGTAGAGATCAGGAATTTAATGTGTATTATTAAGTAAGGCAAATGGACTCAGATGACATGTTGTTTACTAAGCACTTATGGTTTGTAAAAATGGAAAACTAATAAAATATTTTTTAAAAAAAATAACAGAGCAGAGTGGGTGGGTCTGACCAGAAAAATCCCTCAGGTCTCAGTCTGAAAAGGAAAATCATGGCTATATTGCCATGATCAGGATGATCTATTATGCCCTCTCAGGAGTCCTGAGGGCTGCAGTTCTTACACAACTGGACAATCACATGTTGGGAATTTAGACCATATATATTCTCCTTTCCCCATCCCTGTTCTGTAGGTTTTCTCTGTTACCACACAACCTCTCTGCAGCCCTTGAGGCTAGACATACGGTATAAAAACAAAATGCCGTCTGAAAACAGTTGCTATGTTCTGATTGTGTAGTTTATTTAGCCAAATGTGACCTATTGCTGTATATAAACTCAATCAGTAAGTTATGGATTCAAACTGATTCAGAACCAGCAGAAATGATGTGACCCTTAGCAGCATTGCTAGCTGGATATATTTAATCTGCCTTAATCATCAAATGATGTATTTTGGGAACGTGAGGGAAAGGAAAGACAGACATTATTTGGCTTTAGAATAGAATAGAGCTGGAAGGGACCTTGGAGGTCTTCTAGTCCAGCCCCCCACTCAAGCAGGAGAACCTATACCATCTCAGACAAGTGACTGTCTAGTCTCTTCTTAAAAACCTCCAGTGATGGAGCGCCCACGATTTCTGAAGGCAAGCTGTTCCACTGGTTAATTGTCCTCACTGTTAGGAACTTTCTCCTTAATTCCAGGTTGCTTCTATCTTTGATCAGTTTCCAACCAGTGTTTCTTGTCCTGCCCTCTGGTGCTTTGGAGAATAACGTGACCCCCTTTTCTTTGTGGCAGCCTCTCAAATACTGGAATACTGCTATCATGTCACCCCTATTTCTTCTTTTCTTTATACTACCCAAGGATTGTATTAGCTTTTTTGTCTGCTGCTGCTCATTGCTGGCTCATAGTCAAGTGATCGTCCACTAGGACTCCAAGGTCCCTCTCACAGTGGCTGTTTTTGAGCCAGGTCTTGCCTAATCTGTACTTATATCTTTGATTTTTCCTGCCTAAATGTAAAACTTTGCTTTTGTGCTTGTGGTTTAAGTTTGTTGATTAAGAAAGCATGAATCTCGCCACTTCTATACTCATAGTTCACAAATCAAAAATTGCATATCACGGCAAGCCAAAATTAAGTAGATTACATGCATGGTGGCTTAGCATACAGTGGGCAATCGGCAATCCATGTTCAGCATCCCAGTGCTCCATTGCCTCTCCTGAGAATTTTGCCAAGGATGAAGAATAGTTAAATCATTTCAACCCTGCAGAATTTTGGCTCTGTCCACCCTAGTGAAATTATGGTGCCATTTCTCAATTCCCTCCTCCATTCAACAGCTCTTGAGTAAGGTGTTTTGTTTTTTTTAAGTGTAACTCTCAGTTGCAAGAAAGTGCTATTCTGGTTTAGGCAAGTTGTGAACAAATAATTCTAGTTTTGATACCCTGTTGAATGTCTTAAGTTCAAGATGGCTTATAACCTGTTTACCAAGAAAAGGAGATACAGGTAGTCCTTGCCTTACAACCAGTCACAGGACTATTCAAAATTAAAATGGATCTACTTGGAAGCTATTTAATGATCTGGATTTGACGTTCAGGTGACTGATACATTTTATGACTATGATGGGCAGGATCCATTACAGATGTAAGTGGAGGACTATCAGTATATCCCTATCTGGAAAAAAAATGTTCAGAAGTTCACTGCTAATAATTTTGAGAGAGGATTAATCATAACTAGCAGGTTATACTGAACATTCAACAAATCCTGGTTATTGTCAAGATTCCAAAGGTCCATGTGTATCTTAAAGAGCACATAATTGAAAAAGACCATTATATACCTCCATATTCCTCTTTTTTTTCATTTAGTAGGATATATCCAAAATTTGAGAAAAAAGCAATTGCATTCCTTCTATATAAAGGAATAAATGTTAAAAATGTTTTGAAAACAGCCCAGTGTGATTAGCAGCAGAAAATCAAAATGCCAATTAAAATATTGCCTTTAAAATACAAACCATTTCAATTTGGTTAGAATAGCTTGCACGAGTCTGCTAATCCAATTCAGGGTGAAACGAGGCCATCTAAACAAGAGTATTAACTGATCCACTGGAGATATAAACCTGCAAATGCCATTAAAACAAATTAGTAAGCACTTGTCTCACCGAATTATCTTTTCAGTGCACCCCTTCTTCTGATGCATTTGATGTATTTTCATGATTATAGCTTTACTGCATTGCAAGCCACAACTAACTTAAAAACCTATTTTTCCTCTCATTATGTTTCGTAGATATGTCGTTGACTTCTTCCTTGTGGTTACCCAGTTGGGCTTTTGTAGCGTTTATTTTGTATTCTTAGCTGAAAATATGAAACAAGTAAGTACAATAAATATTGTTTGGATGTGTGTTATGTTATTGCCCCCTTTACTCTTTTGCTATGACAGACATGTTTGCATCTCATCTGTGGTTCTTTTTCATAAGACTGGACTATTGCAGTCTCCTCTAAATGTTCTTGACTGCTCTTCAAAAGCTTCTTGTTTCCCTAGAAAGGACTAGCCCAAATTTCTAAAAGATGCATCATGTTTCTAATTGGTTTCCTTATTTCTTGGATGCCCCCAAAACCATACTTAGAATAGAGCTGGAAGGGACCTTGGAGGTCTTCTAGTCCAGTTCTACATCATTCGCGTCAGGAGAACTGCAGGAGAACCTACACCATTTCAGATAAGTGACTGTCTAGCCTCTTTTTAAAAACCTCCAGTGATGGTGCACCCACAATTTCTGAAGGCAAGCTGTTCCACTGGTTAATTGTCCTCACCGTTAAGACATTTCTCCTTAATTCCAGGTTGCTTTTCTCTTTGATCAGTTTCCAACCATTGTTTCTTGTCCTGCTCTCTGGTGCTTTGGAGAATAGCGTGACCCCCTCTTGTTTGTGGCAGCCCCTCAAATATGTACTTGAAGTACTTAATGTGCATTTCTGAGCATCCCATTTCCCAAAGAACACTGACAGAAGAGGTTCAGAAGAGGTAACAAAAAACAATCCAGGGACTTGGGGACATGGCCTATGACAGACATGTCAAACCACAAGGCCCGGGGGCCGGATGCGGCCCGCGACGTGGTTTCATGTGGCCCGTGAAGCCATCCTGGAAACAGTGAGGGAACGGCCCCCGCTGCCTTGGCCCTGGCCCAGGCCAGCCGGGAGCCAATGTACAATTTTGTGGTGGCCCTCTATGCTGAAACGCATTCAGTCTTAGCTCCATAAGCCCCCCCACATGGCCTGAGAGGAACAGTGAGGCTCCTCCAGTGGACCAGGCCTTGGCACTTGCCCTGGTCCCACCCCCTTCTGCCAGAGACCCTCAGATCTGTCCCACTCCTGCCCAGGCCCCCACAGGCCCCCTTGATGCAAATGATGTAGATCTGGCCATGCCCACCCAGTAGGCCACACCCATTCCATCCATGCCCACCCAGTAGACCGCACCCATCCTGGCCACTCCCACCCAGTAGGCCACACCCATTCCATCCACGCCCAGCCAGTAGACTGCACCCATCCTGGCCACACCCACCCGGCCCCCTGAGGGCAACGGCAATGCTGATGTGGCCCTCAACGAAATTGAGTTTGACACCCCTGACCTATGAGGACATGCTGGAAGAATTTTGGAATTGTTTAATTTGAAAAGGAGCTGAGGGCAGACATGATAGCTGTGCTTAGGTAGATAAAGAGAAGCTCTGGACGAGCTAGCCAAGTTCTCCACGGTCACGGAAACCGGGACCAGAAATAATGAGTGCATGCTGCAGCTGCTTCGATTGTGTTTAAATATAAGAAAAAACTTTCTGTGGACTTGAAGGAGACTATATGTGTCCCGGGATAAAGTTGCAGGATCCAATCTAGATTGGTCACCAGGACCAAAGGTTTATTAGTCTTCCAAGCTTTCAGATTCGTGCTGGAGCCCATCCTCAGGGAACTTGTCTCTAACAGAATGTGTGCTTTGGACACTATTCTGTATGTGATATTTATATGGTGCCTGATTGTGTGTGTGGATTTTTAGTTGTTTATTGGGGTGTGATGGCCAGCTATTAAGTCGTTGGCTTAACAATTTCTGGGAGATAGTCATCTTACAGAGATTGTGGGTTCTTGATCTGTGGGAGTATTTTAGTAGAGTCTGAACAGCCAATTCTCTCATGGATTGTATAATTGGAGTGTGCACTGTGGAGTGTTGTACTAGATCAGTGTTTCTCAATCTTGGAACTTTAAGATGCGTGGACTCCAATTCCCAGAATTCCCCTAGCCAGAATGGATTGCCAAGATTGAAAAAACACTGGACCATATGATACTTGTAGTTCCTCCAATTCTACATGTTTAGGATAAGACTGGTGGTTGCTGGCTTTCACTTGTAAAGCTGTGTTGGATATGTCCAATGCCTTGTGTTATTTCTAAACAACAGTAAAGGTGAGATACAAATAAATAAACAAAAACATAAAATAAACATAAATATAAGCCAGCCAGAGTGATTGAAAGTCCCGTGGCCTCTACATCGTATATATAAATACCCAAACTGAATTTTGAAAAAAACAAAAATCCAGTGTGGCTGCATCAAAACTGGGATGTTTTGTTGCCAAGGGTTAGCAGTGTGGTCTTAAAACGTGAGAATTTCCCACTTTTTCTTCGATAAAAATCTGAATTGAATTGGGAATCCGAACTAGATACTCATTTTCAACTCTAGGGGGAGCCCAAAAGATTCTATTCTTTCCTCTGCTGTTGTAATTTTATTTCCTCAGTGATAAAAAAACAACTGCATCCTCACCGTCCAAAAAGCACCTGCATGTAAGTCACAGAAAATTAATCTGGATAACCAGTTATTGATCGTGATCAATCTCTTTTATATCAACATTCATAGATCTTACTCAGAACCAATAAAGCTAGAATTCTTTGAAGGGAATCCTTTTGTGCTGTTTGGCATTCCTTTGTGATTTTGTCATGTTCCCTTCACATATCTTGCTACAGCAGTTTCCAGATTTACATTTTCCTGGGGGGTGACAAGCTGGGAAAAGCTGGTTTACTTTTCTCACACATAACATACAAATAAAACAGTAAACTGGTTAGATTGGCATAGACCATGAGGCCTGCTTCACACATTAGACTGTGCTATATTTTTTGTTTTAATTGTATTGGAAGATTCATTCAGTCTTCTCTTGATTTTCTTTCGTGGTGGCTTCCAGTTTCTATTGTTTGCCTGATCATTGAGAAATGGCCAGTTTTGCTATGAATGCCTCCTGCTTGATTCTTTTACTCTTCTTCTCTTGAGTCCTATTTTAACATGCTAGTAAAAAAAAAGTAGCATAAAGCATTTGGGTACGTAGGAAGACAAATGGCTATAGCACTGTTTCTTGGTAGCGATAAGACCTCTGATCTAAGATATCTATGCATGCTGCAGGATAAAGCAATTGAAACATTTAAAGATGATCATTTGCGTCCCTTTAAGTAATGAATGCAATTTTGAAATGTTGCCCTCTGTTAATTAAAACAACAAAACAGTAAGGGATAAAGTCTCCTTTGTGGATTTGGAAGAAGTGGGATAGAGAGAGTATTGATGTCTGTGGAGATTCTCAGTCCTCCAGGTCATGGTTGTCCCAAAGGTGCTTTTTCAAGACTTTCTCGTTTTTCTTTGAAGATGTTTCACTTCTCACCCAAGAAACTTCGGACTGGATGGTGGGGAATGGAATGAAAGGATTTATATTCCTTGCAGATAGATGGTCATTTGCATTTTTAAGAAACCTTGGAGGTTTATCTTTTGACATAGATGGCAAAATTGAACAGCCTCTCTCAACAGAGGGGGAGGGATATGACATCGTCTCTCTCCAGTCTACAACACAGTCCTTTCAGCAGTTACAAGAAGGCTCCACAGCCATTTGCACTACTACCCTGAGGACACAGACAAACCTCCAAGTAACCTCAGTGACTCTCTAGTCCAGCGGTTCTCAACCTATGGGTCGCGACCCCATTTGGGGTCGATCGACCATTTCATGGGGGTTGCCAAGCAAAGCTGTCTGCCTTTTTTTTTGTCCGCCATTTTTTCCCCCTTTTCCGGCGGGTGCCTTACCTCCCTTGGGCTGGGCCAGCTGGTGGTCGGCCTGCTCCGTCTCTGCTGCTTGCCAGCTACGCCTCGGCCGGCGCAGGGGGCGGAACCACGCATGTGCGGCGCTCCCGGGCAGGGAAAGTCCTCGACTTACGACCGGTTGGGTAGTCCTCGACTTACGACCGGTTTAGTCCTCGACTTAACGACCGGTTTAGTCCTCCACTTATGACCGGTTGGGGGTCGCGGCATTAAAAAGGTTGAGAACCACTGCTCTAGTCTAAAAGAATGCAAATGACTAGCTATCTGCAAGGAATATAAATCCTTCCATTCCCCACCATCCAGTCAGAGCTGAAGAAGCTTCTTGGATGAGAAGTGAAACATCTTCAAAAAAACCCCAAGAAAGTCCAGTTGCCTCTTAATAATAATAATAATAATAATAATAATAATAATAATAATAATAATAATAATAATAATAATAATAAAGTTGGAAGGGACCTTGGAGGTCTTCGAGTCCAACCCCCTGCTCAGGTGGGAAACCCTATACCATTTTGGACAAATGGCTGTCCAGTCTCTTCTTAAAAACTTCCAGTGTTGGAGCATTCACCGCTTCTGGAGGCAGGTTGTTCCACTGGCTAATTGTTCTAACTGTCAGGAAGTTTCTCCTTAGTTCTAGGTTGCTTCTCTCCTTGATCAGTTTCCATCCGTTGCTTCTCGTCCTGCCTTCAGGCGCCTTGGAGAATAGCTTGACTCCCTCTTCTTTGGGGCAGCCCCTGAGATATTGGAAGCTTTTGAATTTCGATGTTGGAGAAGACTCCTGAGAGAACTGTGGATAGTCAGGAAAACAAACCAATAGATCATCAAACAAATCAACCCAGAGTTCTCACTCTAGGCACAAGTGACTAGGCTCAAATTATCCTACTTTGGACACTTTATGGGAAAGTTCAGCTCTCCGGACAAGGCTGTGATCCTGGGGAAGATAGAAGGAAAGAGAAGAAGAATAGCAGTAAGGTGGCTCAACAGGTTGGAATGTGATTACTAAGAGCTAACACCGACTTGAAGGCACTTTGGTTAAAAATCTCTTGGAAGTTGTGGTGACTTCAAGAGCCTGTCCTTGTAGTTTTCTTGGTAACAATACAGAAAAGACTTGCAATTGCCTTTTTGAGGGATTTTTCTCCCCCTCAATTTCCCACTTTCGGATGACCCCCTTTATGGCAATCACGACTTGCGACTGTAATTGCCAAGCTCAATTATGGTCGTAAGTTGAGGACTACCTGTATCCCGGTGCTCGCTGCCTCCCAATTCTTT